TGGCTTGGGGCGTTGCCAGAGCCGGGCCCGAGTGCCGGGGTGGTCAAGCAGTGGGCGAAGGTGTGTTTGAGAACGTTCCTGCCGCCTTCCCAGCCCCGCAAGGTCCCGGTGCTGGAGGTCGGGGGTCAGGCGGGCCCCGATGGCGCAGACGGGGCCTTGGGGTGACAGAGCCTGGGCCTTCCTCTCTGGGCACCTTGGCCAGCCCCAGCGGTTCCCTCTCCTTCCCCGAGGCTTGGCTTGGGCAAGTGTCGGGAAGGCTGGTTTTGGAGGCTCTTCCCAAGGAAGAGCAGAGTCCGGGTAGGGCCGTGCTTTTTTTTCTTTCCTGCCGGCCGTGCGGCGCAGTGGACGCGTCGTTGTGGCCCTGTGCCCCCCCGTCTGGCGAGGGGGTGGGTGGCGGGGCTGTTCGGGCGCCCGCTGGGCGACACGCTTGAAATGAGGGGTCGTCCCCCTCCATCCGCTGGAGAAGCCAGTCGGGCAGCTGAGCCCTGCGCTGTTTTTTCTCTTCCGTTTGCAGGTGGGAGCGGAACGGGTTAGATCCCTGGGGAATTCTGTCCCCTGGGCGCAGGAGAGGGCAGAGCGCCGCCCCGCGCCGGCTGTTCCTGCAGCTTGTCCGTCTGTTTGCGCAGATCACCGCCGAGGAGTCGGAGGATGAGCCGCCACCCAGAGAGGAAGGAGCGGATGCCCGGCTCAGCGAGCGGGATGCAGCGGGGGGGAAGAACGAAGGGGCTGTAACCGAAGAGGCCGAAGGCGACGGGCAGGGAGGAGGGGAGGAGGCGGAGCGGCCGGACCAAACGGTAACTGAACCGCAGGTATCTGGTGGTGATGGCGGACACCACGTGGGGTGCAGAGGGAAGGTTTCTCGCCTCCCTGCCTCTGCGTGCGCTGAGGAGCGTTGCGGTGCCGGGCAAGTGCGTTTCTTTTCCCTCGCCCCTGGGTTTTGTCAGAGGCTGAGGACGTGAGCCTCGGGGGAGGGAGCTTAAACCCGGGTACTCAGGGCTCCAGATCTGGGGGAGAACGAGCAGTTTGATGCTGAGCGTTGGGTTTGTGCCTGGGATTCGGGGAGATCTTACGGGCGCAGAGGGGAGGTTCCTGAGGAAGACCTTGTGCTGTGTCCTCGCGAGCGCTGCGGTCAGGCGCAGCGCCCGGGACGGAAAGCGCCCTGGGATTCTGAAAGGGAGATTGCTTCTCTGCTCCCTTCGCCGCACAATTAATTGAGCTGCGCACCGTACGTGGGGCTGGGCTGGTGGGTGAATGCTGAGTGGAGCGTTTGTTTTGGAGTGGGTGAGGTGAAGGCTCCAAGCAATGTAAACGAAAACACTGAACTTGTTCTTTTCTGGAGCATTTTGTTGTTTTGCGTTAAGATTCCCTCCTGTGGTCTGTGTCAGCTCAGGCGTGTCTCCTTGCAGAAGCACGTAAGGAAAGGGGCGCTTTAGTTAACGATTGGACACTGCGAGCCTAGCCCATGTCTTACTGGAGATGAGGATGGCGGGGAGTGAAGGGGGATCGGCCCCCTGGCCTCACCCGTCAGGGCTCAGCCTGTGGGGTGTGTGCCCGTGGGTTTTGGGTGCCAGGCGGTGCGGCCAGAGGAGCAAAGACCACCGTCTGTGCGCGGTCCAGCTGTGCTGGTGGCCTCAGCCCGCCCAGGGGCTTGGGAATGCTCTGGATGTGGGGTGTGGGCTCTGCTCGGTCGGTCCCCGCGTGAGCAGTGGCTCCAGCGGGCCCTGACCCGGTGTATTTGCTGCGTAAGCACTGCAGGGTGCACCTGCTGCTTCTCTCAGACCTTCCCGGGTAGAATCGTGGGCGCCCTCGGCAGGCGCCCCCCCGCCGTTTGATAGAGCCAAATCGGGGCTGCACGTTCCCCCGGTTCTGAAATGGGCTCGGGAGCCGTGGGGTTGTTCAGGTAACGCTGTCGCTCGCTGTTTTACCTGCGTGGATCCTGGGAATGTGCTTTTTTAGCTCCGTACGCCCTGGGGAAGAGCCGGCGTGGACAGCAGCGTGCCTGTCGCGTTAGGGAACGCCACACGGCATCGTGAGCTGAAGTAGCTGCGTCGGCAGCGAGAGGAGCCTGTGTTGCGTGGTGCTTTCAGGCAGCTGTTGGCTTCTGCGGAAATCGGCGTGACCGATGGCAGCGTCACGCTCGCTAGACAGACAGAAGTGAAGTTTATTCCAGGGGGTGAAGGAGGGCTGAAAGGTTTCTTCCTCACCTGGCAGACCTAAAGAGTTTCTTGCCCGATTTTGTAGTCTCAGACATTGATATGAAGGTCGGCTGAGATTTAACCCTTGCGTTTGTAAACCTGTGGTGCTTTCCTCCGTTTTCTCCCTGTGTCTTAACTTCCACTCGCTGACAGAGTTGAAAGGATGAACGTTGGTTTCGTTTCAGGGTCCTCCTGGCGTGCTGCTCCCCGGGGGAGCTTTCGTCCCTGTGGTCCCCGGGCACGCTCTGACAGCTGTCCCCTGTCTCTTTGCAGCCTGTGTTGAGTGACAAGCCACGAAAGAAAAGAAAGAAAAGGAAAACCAAGAAAACCTCAGCAGGGGAGACTCTGGTATGTCTGCGCTTGCTCCGAGTTAGTGGCTGTGCTAATTTCTGCGTTGGGATTGACAAAGCGGCTGCTCTGAGGCGGCTGCAGAAAAGTTTTTGAGGCAAAAATGCTCCTTTTTGCGTTGTACTCGTTTAAAATTACCAAATGGCAACAGCAGCTTTTGGCTGTGTTCCTTCAAGCCGCCGGGACTGGCGCGGCTCTGCTGCGGATGCTTAGAGCCGAAATCCTCGCAGCGGCGTCTTCTTTCATCTCCCCTTCGAGGCTTCGCTCGGGAGGGGGTACCGCGCCAGGGCTTTTGCATTTTCCTTCTATTTTCCTTGCCCTACTTAGGCAGCTCTCCCGGCTCTGCAGAGCCACGCGGGGCTCTCGCTGCCAGCCGTCGTTCCCGTTCCCGTCTCCGCCGTGCGCAGCCGCGCGCCTTCTCTGTAGCCTGACATCGAGTCGCTGAACGCTGGCGGGAGCGTCTGCTAGCGCCTTGCCAGCAAATGCGCGGCCAAGCGCTCTTCCCGTGGGAGCTGCTCCATCCCCTCGGCGATGACGGGAGCGAGGGGACAGTGATTTCTCTCCGACTAAGCTGTCCCCCCCTAAGGAAGCGTGCTTGGGGCGAGAACGTCAGCCGGTGTCTGTGTTTTGTTGCGGATAAAACTACAGGAGACAAATGCGTATGCTTGAATGCACTTTATCTACTTGGCCTAAGCCAGGAGACCGGGCAGTCACTGGTCTTTTAAATTCAACAGAAATAAAGTTCAAGTGGGAGCTAGTTTTCTGCTGAGGTTTAAGAGTCTTAACTATTCACTCGGGGGAGATCCTTTGCTAGACGTCCTGAGCCACGGTACGCTGGTATGGGTGAGCGTACGGCTCGCCACGGTACGGCTGAATGGTGGGTGAGCCGTGACTCCGGCGTGGGTGCCCGCCTGGCTGCCTCCTCCCTGGGAATTCGGCTGGGCGAGCTCGGAGCGAGTTAACGAAGGCGGAGAACCCGATCACAGAGCCCGTGTCCTCTCCCAGTCCGAGAATAACGAGCAATAGGGTGACATCTGCCAGCTGTAGGCTCTAGGGAGACTTCATACCCAGGACCAGGCGGTTTGATTTGCTAGCTAGAGATAATGCTACCTTTGTTCAGGCACTTACATGCAAAACACATTATAAACTTTTCCTGTATCCACTCCGTGCGGAGTGGCTATATTTAGCTGGAAAAGGCAAGCTCGCAGTGCTATTTGGGTGTCGTGAATGGAATTCTGTGTTCCACCCACGTACATCATGAGGAGGATGTGAAACGGCCGCGTAAGAAGCGCGTCACTTGCTATTTGTGGAGGAAGAAATAGAGGAAAATCAGGATAAAAGTGTTCTACGGCTGTTGAGTGTGCGCTGCTGGGTATATTCTTTGCATTGTTAGAAGAGGGGAAAGTGAGAGTGCAATACATGAGAGCGGGGTTAAAATCATGTGAGCGTTTGATACCTTATTACAAGGGTCACAGCAGTAACGTAGTGTTGCCATGGAAAGCAGGCAGTAAAGGCTGATTATTTGAATGTTCATCATGAAAATCGGTACCCCGGCGTTCCGTGGTGTTACAGGGATTGCAGTACAAATAAACCGAAGCACGGCGAAGGCTGGGTGGGAAGGGGCGGACCAGAGACCGGGCACACGCAGACTCGTGAGCTTTGTGTTAGGCTGGGAAGGGCTCCTGCGGCCGGCTCTTGCCCGCGCTGGATATATTCTGCCGGCATGTTCGGACTCGTGATTGTGTGAAGAGCAACTTCACGCTGTCATGATACCTTGAGCGAGCGGAGAACAGCAGCCAGCCCTTTCGGGGGCGGTTGGACGAGGAAGGCAGGCTCTGGGTGGGATTCCCGAGGGAATAAAGGGCGCTGGGTGCAGAGCAGGAGGCCTCAGTAAGACTCAGGACGTGTGCCGCGGCCGAGGTGGGCAATGGGGCAGCCGCAGGGCGGGTAGTAGGGGCTGCACCGGTATCGCAGGGGGATCGGGGTGAGCCGAAGGACCCGGAGGCAGCTGGGCGCGATCTCTGCTGGGTGACCTGCGTGCCGTGGTGACTCGTTCTGTAATAACTGCCTCGTATTCGCGTGTGCCTGTCTATCTCAAGGAAGACAATGACCTGGAAGACATCGACAGCCTGCTGGAGAAGATTGAGGATACCAATGGGCTATCGCAGCAAACCCAGAGCGGAATTATCGCTGACAGCAGGCCTCTGCTCTACGTAGAGCACAGGTAGGGCTCGCTTCCGTCCTGATTTTGGCCCTGGGCGCGGCAGGGATATCTGTTCCCCCGAGGAAGGGAGTTGGGAGCCTACCAGCGTGATCTGGCCGTGAATTCGGGACCTTGCTTGAAGGGGGTTGTGGTAATGGTTGTGCACAGCCCCATTTCTAACCATTGCTCTTGGAGCTGTGTTCGGTTTTGAGCAGCGATTGGTATTCTCTGCTGTCATGCCTGGTTTGAGTGGGCCTCTGGACCGGGTTAACCTCCAGAGGTGCCTTCCAGCCTAAAATACTCCGTGAGTCAGTAGGAGAATCTCTGCAGAGAGCCCTGGCGCATCAAGCGTTGCGATCGAACTCACCCGGCCGGCTGACCGGCTGCATTCAGGCCGGGCGCTGTGAGCAGCAAGCCCCAGTACAGCACGTGCTGTCCTGCGAGGAGGGCTGGGCAGCGCCAGGAGCTAATTTCGCCAGGAAGGCTGGTTAGACTTGTCTAACCTTTCCTGCCTGTCACTGTCAACAAAGTGGACTAAGCGCCAAGCACGTCCAGGAGCTGAAGAATGAATTGGCGTGGGGTTCGAGACCTGTAATGCCCGGGGATGTTGGGAATGGGCTGGCTGGCGGGTCCAGCGTGTTTCGGAGCCCTGGGCTGGTGCAGGCACTGGCAGCTCTTTCTGTTTCTGGAGAAGGCGTTTAAACGTGTAGCTGGGACAACTTCAGCGGTCCGGGTTTTGAAAGGTCAAAGCCGAGTCTGGGCTGGCGGGCGCTCGGTGCTGTAGCGCAGCCTGTTCAGGGACACGTCAGTAAAGGCAGGAATGTTTGTTTATCTTAGAGGTGGTTTTAAGCCTCAGTGACATCTCTGGTCAAGTACACGTTATTCGGGTACCTTTGAGAGCTGGATAATCTCCGAGTGGGTGAGGGTTGGCAGCGCTGGATCTCAGCTTTCCCACTCCCTCTCTTCCAGCCCTGCTTGCTGGATGGCAGAGAGAAACCCCTCAAATACGCCTCCCTTCTCTGGGCCAAACGTTAGCTCAAGAAAACCGTAGGTGGTGTCATGCTTCGATGCAAGATCTTTGTATTAAAAAAAAATGTATTTTAATCCTTGCCAGCCTCCGTGCAGCGATTATGGTGCTTGCCCCAAATTGCAGGCTGCCACCGCTAGACTCGGCGGCAGGTATCTCGTGTTTTCCAGGCGCGCGTGGCCCGAGCGTGCTCTCCTGAACGGCGGCTGTCCTGGGAGTATCCCAGACCAAGGCTCCAGCTGCCCTGGAGAGGGCAGCAGAAGTATTCCCCAGCTGGGCGCTGTTTCGGAGCAGAGCACGACGGAAGCGTGCGTCTGGTTGAACAAGGGTTTTGATGCCTCCTGTTCTGACCGTTTTTAGGCTCCTTTCGGTTTGTCGTGTCAGATCAGTTGGTGTGTGTGACGGGTCAGGGGCTTGGCCAGAGACAGTTCAAGGTTCAGAACAGTCGGCGCTGATGGAGAAGACTCGAGCGTGAGACTTTTGGCTGTGTTTAACTGACGGTAGCTTTTCCTTCTTGTTTCAACCTTCTCAGAAACTTGAATCCAGAGAACGAGTTGAAGAGATACTTCGGGGCTCGCGCTGTTCTTGGTGATCAGAGGTTAGTCCAGAATTTACTATTAAAGCCTTTCAAGGCGTGTCTGTCCTTCCCTTGGTGTAGGGCTTACTGAGCCCCCAGTGCCACACCTGGGCAGGGAATCCAGGGGTCAGGGCGTCTCAACTCATTTAGAATTAGCCGCTTGTTGGGACAGGAGAATATTTTTTTGTGATATGTGTGAGGGGGGGAGTAAGACTTCTCCAGGCTTTTGCTAGCGTTTGTTTTTTCTTCTGCTCATTTCCCCTCTCGTTTACTGTCAAACACCCTTCTGAAGTCCTTTCACTCAAATTCATAGAGTATAGACTCTAGGATTTTTTTATTTTTTTTCTTCTTTCTCCAGCATTTGTCGCTTGTTGCTATTCCAAAGTCTCTGATGTCTTACAGAGCGGACCCCGAATACTCTCCAGAGGGTCTCGTGCACTTGTTTTCAGGGGCCCAGGGAACCCACTGCTTCTTGGGTGTGAGGTCTCTGTGCAATTACCCGTTGCACTGTGGTCAGCGTTATCCAGAGATCCCTGCTTTCACGAGCTGGTTGAAAAATGTGCACGTAAGAAGGGCATAAGCTCAGAGCAGTGATGGTGGAAGCGGAAGCCTTGTCTGAGAGAGTCTGTGGAAGAATATTTAGTGCTTGAGGAAGAAGTAGCAGTCCCTTACTGAGGAGACGTGACTTTCTTAGAGTGGCCTTGATTTCTGAATTCCTCCTGCCCTGAACCGATAAATTGGTTGCATTTGTGAGTACGGCTTAAACTAAATCAGTTGACATTTGGAGGCACTGCTGGGAAGGGAGATGAGTCAGAGGGATATGGGGCTCTCTTAATTGGACCTGGGAAGCTGTTTGAAGCAGAGGCAGCTGAGAACTTGGCAGGAATAAAAACAGGGAAGAGAAGCTATTGAAGTGGAAACGCTGGAGGCACTGGATGGCCCAAAAAGGAATGGTTGGAGTAAGGCAGAGCCTGAGCGAAGGTACGTTGTGTCTTGAAGGCAAACATGTTAAAGCTCTGGGCAAAAGCTCCGTGTGGCAGGGCTGCAGCAGGGGAAGAAGCTGGATCTCTTTTTTTTTTTTCCCCTGAATCATCCTTTTTCTGGCTGGTTTCAGCCCTCCTCGTTCTGTTAGTACGGAGAAACTCTGATCTCTCGCGTTTATTTCCTCAGGCCCAGGCAAAGGCAGCGCCAGTACGTCCGCAGCACGTGGCTGACGGCTCCCAAGAACACCTGGCCGCGCTACAGCAAAACAGGTGAGGCTTTCGGCGCCGCCTCCCGAAGCACCGCGCTGCCGCCAACCAACAGGGCACCTCAGTCCCGTGCCCACGTTGGCACAGACGGCCGCTCCTGCCAGCCTGGCTTTTCCTAGGGCCTCTGTGCGCGGAAAACCGGAGCTGCTTTCATCAGCTACCAGGCCCAGGCTTCACCCTGGCTGATGCAGAAAGGGAACTGCTCGTCAGCTGATGGAAATACCCCCTTTCTCAACAGGGAGAACTCTGTTGTATTGTATCTTAGCACCTGAGCTGGTTTTTTTCCCTCCTGTCGGAGGTAGCGGGTGATGGGTACTCCCCCTCTTACAGCAGTCTTGCTGGATAATGGGAGATATCCGCGGGGAGAGCAAGCTGCCTGGGCTTCTCAGGTGGCTTTCGGACTTTGACTCGCGGGAAGAGGGAAAGGAGTGAAATTCTCTGGGAGTTTCTGAAAACACGCCTGGCTTTGGACCCGGCGGTGCGGAGGAGCTTTCCGCGTTACAAGAAGGCGGAAGAGCCGCTCTTGCCGCTGTGCGCGCAGGCTGGCGGCAGCGGTACCCACGTCTCCCCTGCCCCCTCTAGGTATTGCCATGCAGCTGGTGGACACCAGGAGGGGAGTGCAGTACTTCACGTTTGAGCACCATCGCGAGTACCAGCAAGTGCAGTTCAAGTTCCTGGACGCCGTGGAGTCCATGGACCCCAACAACATTGTGGTACGTTGTGAAATTGGGTTGCCCGTGCTGTTACCTCCCGCGATCCTGCAGCCCCTTTCCCTGGCGGGGGAGGTGGGCTCGTTTTTTTTTTGCCAGGCTCGTTTTGAGCAGTAGAGCCCTGTGCCTCCTCTGCGTGGGGCGAGGCAGCGTTGCTTGCTGAGCTCTGCTTTCACCTTATTCGTAAGATAAGTGACCGCCTTGGTGCAAATGAGGGCCGGTGGCCGAGCCTCGGTGGCTCTGCCCGAGAGCGGGCCAGGTAGCCATCTGGAAGAGGAGCCCGCAGGAACTGACCGTTTGGCTGAAAGGGTAGGAATAAAGCTCCCTTGTCTCGGCTCTTCAGCTGGGAAAGGGGAAAATAGTGTGTAAACCGATCTTTAAATGGGAATCTAAACTAACAGCTGTTCTATTTATAAACTCTTGCATGGATGAAAAATGTATCTTCTCTTGGTATTTCAGCAAAACAGTCTTTGTGTTGGAAGTTCTTCATGTGTGTCCAAGCTCATTAAACTGTATGGTAACGTTTGTAGTTTGTAGCGATAAGCAACAGCGAAATTGCTCTGCACCCTACTGAACCGTAATTGAGGTATTTTTGCTCTGAAATTCCTGGCCACGTGAGCTCGGATACATGCCCTGGAGAAGTTTCTTAAAGAGGCCATTGTCCGCTAAATAAAGTTTACTTCCTTCTACTTTCCCACCCCCTGCTCGCGGCCGCCGCGCTCTCCAGCTCGTCAGTTCTGCCTGCGGGCTGGACCACGGGGTTCGCGGTCAGTGCCGCGAGGCGGTTCCTGTGCCGCGGTGATCAACCTGAGAGCCGGCCGTCCCAAGGACGGCTCAAACGCAGCCTCGCGGGGCTGCGCAGAGCAGGATGGGTCTTCCGTGGTACACTTTAGTCTTTAGGCTCTGTCCCTGTTCAGTGGGTCTGGCTGCGTTTGGAGATACTCCTGCAGCTTTAGCCTGTCAATTTTATGTTGAGGGTAAAATCCAACGGACGGGGGTTCGCCCGTGCCAGAAGTACTTCAAACCCCCGACCAGTTTATCGGTGACGGCCGCGGTCTCGCATAGCTGGAGCCCAGATCTGCCTTGCTGCCGTGATTTCAGCATGCAAAACACGATTTTTTGGGGGGGTCCTGCTCGGTGAGTGTGTTTTCTGCTCTCGCTAGTGGGTTAAAAGGGTCTTGCCGGTGAAGTTGTAAGTGCGTGAAGAGCGCTTTTTCCCATCCCAGTGACCCTAGGTGCTCCATCTCGTCCGAAAATGAGAACTAGAAAGGAACTTGAGAGCAAGCAAGGGAAGGGGTGAAACGTCAGGCGAGTGGCACCAAGGCAAAGGCGCTGGGGTGGGGCAGCCTAGAACATAAAGGCTTCGTGCCGTAGGCGGCCGCGCTGGCCAGCACCCTGCAGATGTACGACTTCGGGAGCTTTTGAAGCTGTATTTTTCTGTTGGGGGGGAGGGGGGAATCCCAAAACTAAACTGTGAGGCGATTTGAAGTAGCTTCAGTATTTTCATACTGAAACTGAGTTTTAGGTACTTGGGAAAAGTAGCCCTTTTGTAATATGACTAGTGAATGCAGAGGTTTTTGAGGTGCGGTTAAACTTCTGAAGCCTGGGAAGAAATACTTTTAATCCGTTACCATTCAGGAGCTGGATCCTGGAGTTGTAATAGATGTGTCAAAATGTCCTCTCGGTGCCCAGAGGAAGCAAACGCCCTGGTCAAATGCTCAGGATTGCTAAGGGATAGAGAATAAAACAAATAGGTAATTATGCCTGCTGCCTGCATCTTGAGCGTTGCGTGCAGTTCTGGGCCCTCACCTTCAAAAGGATATGGTGGAGCTGGGAGCGATTCCGAGGCGGACGGCGAAGATGATCAAAGGCCTGGCATGGCCTCGGCGCTGGAAAAGCCGGGTCGGCTGGGAGGGAGGTGCCTGGGGGAAGCTGCGATCGAGGGCTCGGATCCTGCCTGGGGCGGGGAGGGATCTCCCCGCCGGCCCTTCCGAGGCAGGGATGAAGCTGGCAGGTTGGGATCAAAAGGAAGTTCTTCGCGTTGTGTGCTTAAGCGGTGGCTTTCCGTGTCGCGGAGCTGGGGTGCTGGAAAGGTCCCCGGGTCAGTAAGTGAACAAGTTCACGGGAGGAGACGCCATTAATATCGATGGCATCTTTGACAGTGGGGGTCCCTGAACCCCTAACGGTTGGCAGCTTAGAGCGTGCTGGGAGCCATCGTGTGTGCCCAGCTTCGCGCCCTCTTTCCCGGGCATCTGCTTTTGGAGTCAGGGCGAGGTGGACCCTCCGCTCTGACCTAGCGTGACTGTTCTTGGGTTCTTTTAGCCCCGAGTTTTAGCCTTTCACGTGAGGTGTGTCCCCAGCCTTGCACTCCAGTCTGAGCGTTGGCGCTCTGACGGTGCCGGACAGGATTTCTTCACCTTCAGAGCCAGGGGCAAGGACGGCCCCTCCGCCTCGGGCGCGGTGTCGTGGCTCCCTGCCACGCTTACAGAGCTTGCCTCGTAGGCAGGGCGCACGAGAAACCCGCGGTTTGTGCCACTGTGTAATCAAGCTCGTGCTCTTCTGTAGCTGCTGCTTCAGATGAACCCGTACCACGTGGACTCCCTTCTGCAGCTCAGCGACGTCTGCCGGATGCAGGAGGATCAGGAGATGGCCCGTGATCTCATAGGTAAGAGCTGAGGTGAGGAGCAGATGTCCACAGGTGAGGTGGGGTGGGAGCTGCTGCTCTTCACTGTCGCAGTTTTGCCTTCTGCCAGCTCAGCCTGCCGCTGGGGAAGGGGCAGCGGCAAAGGTGGTCGGCCCCCCTCGGCTAGCCTGAGTGGGGGAGAGCTTGCCGAGGGGGGATGTGGAAAGCTCCAGCCTGGCTGAGTCCCCGGCAGGGTCCGCAGGGCAGCGCGGCGTTGTGCTGCGGAGGCGAGGCTTGTCACCAGCTGCCAGTACGTTACGGCACGGGGAGGGAGAGGTGGTGCTGGGGCAGCGGTCTGCAGACACGCACGCACACGCTGCCGGTGCCGAGCAAGTCCCTGCTGAAAGTCTCGGCTGAAGAGGGGCTGTGAATTCGCAGTCGAGGGCTTTTGCTTCAGTTCTGGTTTCGTTTCAACAGAGAAGCAGCAAACCAGAAGGGTTGGTTTGGCTCTGTGACTGCGAGCGCTCTGCCTGACATCGTCCTGCAGACCAGCAGCTTTCGCTGGAGGCTTTTAAATAGAGCTGGACGTGCTCGTCTGGGGCAAAGCGCATCAGCGTTCACCTTCAAAACGAATGGAGGGATTGCCTGGGCATGGGGGGGGGTCCCACCTGCAGGACGTGCCTTGCAGGAGGAGGGGCTGATTTAGTAGCTACGAGAGACAGCAGTGCAAGGGACCCTCCAGGAAGCCTACCCCCTCTGCGGGGAGCGTGCCCGACCCTCCGGGCCGGCCTGCCTTGCCTTCCTCTGACCAGCGTCTTGCAGGTCAGCATGTCGGGCCCTGCTCCTCGGGGCACCGCAGGCCGCGTGGGGGCAGGAGGCCTCCTGGAGGATGGCCGCCCCTCGGACCGCTGCGCTGCGCTCTCGGGCGTCCGATGTGCTGTTTGGTAACCGGGGCACGTGCTCTCCAGCATGATAGGAGGGGCAGGAGGCGAAGTGGGGACAGGATCTTTGGCTTCCCTACGTGAAGATAGTTGCGGCAGAGGCAGCTGTACCAGCCTCAATCCCAGACCTCCTCCAGAAGAGTTATTTTCCCAACCAGGGCGTGATCTAATGCCCACAGACGGGAACAGGGCTCGCTTGCCTGGGTATCTGCTGCGACCGCGTACGCTGAAGTAGCTTTGTGCCTTGCTAGGGTGTGAGCAAGCTTACTTCATGGGTGCCAGAGCTCTCAATTATCGGTGTCTTCTGGGCCAAATCGACTGCCATTTTGCGAGCGGTGGGGCCGCGTGGCGTGCCGGGGTGGTGGCGTGCTCTGACGCCGTCCTTGCTGTCTGCAGAGCGGGCGCTGTACAGCCTGGAGTGCGCCTTCCACCCCGTCTTCAGTCTCACCAGTGGGACCTGCAGGCTGGACTACCGGCGGCCGGAGAACAGGTAAGCGGCACGCCTGCCTGCCCCGCGTCTGCCGGAGAGCCGTCGTGGCGTGCCCTGGCCTACTTTGGACGAGGACA